ATGTACATGCAATCTGCAGGCAAACAAAATGCCAATAAAACATTTCACAGGGCAATTTTATCTGAAAATATGTTTCTATAACCCTTTAAATGACCCAAACCAACTGGCATTAGCATGTAATAAGCCTGGGATTTTAAGGGGATAATACTCATGCGGACCTGTGCCAGGATAATGTTCAGTCAATACAGGTTGAGCTGGTCTACAGCATGGTCTAGCGGGTTAAGCTGGCTGTCTGGCATATTCTTGGCATTGATACTGTCAACATGAAAGATTAAACCAAAATTAGCACCAAAGTATCTAAAGCAAATTTATGTTGTGAACCAGTAGAATAGTAGTCCTTAGAGTCTATACTGTTTTTATGAATTTCAATAAAATGGTCACACAAAGCAAACAGATTTAAGTTTTCTAGCATGTTAAATAATGTGTTACCAGGGTTGGGATGACTACTGAAAAAATAGTAGTTAGTTACTTTGTAGCTACTTTCCCAAGATTTGTAGCTAGCTACAATTTAGCTACTTTTCCAGAAAAAGCAGTGTCTACTTTTTAGCAACTTTTTGAAAAGCAGTGCACTACTTTTTAGCTACTTTCAAAGCACGATCGTCAGAATGTTTGTGAATCTCCACCTAACACACCAAACAAGCCCAACTGATAGTGTGAACAAGACACTGCATTTAATCATGTGCCAGAAAGAAACAATTGAAAAGCTGCAAATATACAAATAGATCACCAAAGTTTAAGTAAGTTTAAGTGTAACCAACAATCAAACTTACACAACCAAAGGCGTGATATCCAACAAAAATTTACTCCAAGTTTTTCCTAACAAAAAATCAACAAAAATAACCAAATACAAACCAAACAATTTAGTGCAAATCATTGTCAACTCTTGAATTAGAACTGTTCCAATTTAAACATTTCAGCAAGATATACAGACATGACATTCAGAGTCCTTTGTTAAACTTCAGTAACACTTTAGCCTCAAAATTCTCATCAGTGACCCTGGCTCTGTTTGGGGTGAGAATCACTCCACAGCATAACTAGATTTTTAGGTAAAATAACATAATCCTCCTTTGCTGTAAAATCGTTATAACACACAGTTCAAACACAGTTTTCACAATAAATGGTCTTAAGAGCTGGAGTTAACGTATAACTGCTAATTTACCAACCTTTATCGCTGAAGACTGACGCGCAGACTGCTGGACACACAGCAATGCAGATAACGAAATGGCAAAGTGAAAGATTTGAGACGAACATCGATAATTTGGAGATGAATGGACTTATTTGCATTTATAATCACTCAGATGGTTTCCTCATTCGTTTAATCTGCAAAAACTCGCAAAGCTGAAGTCGCTTCTCATTCTCCTGCTTCTCGTTTGAATTCTCCCGTTCCACATTAAATGGCGCAGCAGTACAATCTGGCGCCTCAGGCGCCATTTAAGGTGGAACGGGAGAATTCAAACGGGAAGCAGGAGAATGAGAAACTGAGTTTAGCCTTGTAAAAAGTCAAACTTTGAGAGACATTTTACAAGAAACCCGTGGAAAAGTTTCCTGAGATGCGAGGAAAGCAGCTACAGCTGACCTAAAGGTTAAAGCAGAGCAAAGTAAGTCTGCGTTTTCGTATATATTATATATTTTTAGCCTATAGTAGCACTCCTGGAGATCCTTTTCTGCATGTTTCACTGCCAACCTCAAACAAACACACTGTATTCAGCTAATAAAGGACCTCTGAAGGCTGGTTATTACTGCTGAATATTATTACATTCTGCGAATGTATGCATATATGATGTGGTAACACATTACAGGACAAAAGCAGTGTAAAGAATGTGTCTTCGTAAGTTGTTGGACCACCAGAGCCACCAGAACAGCTTCATTGCACCTTAGCATAGATTATGGATTGTGTTTTTCCAAAAGATATTCCCTCAGATGGTGTTTTGATGAGGGTGGTAGAGAGCGCTGTCTAACAAATTGGTCCAAAATCTTCCATAAGTGCTCAATTTAGTTCAGATCTGGTGCCATGGCATATGATTTATATCATTTTCATACTCATCAAACCTTCAGTGACCCCTTGTGCCCAGAGGATAGGCACATTGTCATTCTGGAAGAGACCACTCCCATCAGGATAGAAACGTTTCATCACAGAATAAAGGTAATCAGTCAGAATAACATTGCATTGATTTGCACTAACCATTCTTTCAGTGGTGACAAGTGGAAACCCCCAACAGCATAACAAAGCCACTGGACCCCCTCACTGTAGGGGTCAAGCATTCAGGCCAGTATCACTATCTTGATGGCCATCACACATGCACTCCCCTACTTGTAGAGAATATGATGAAATGGGTCAGACCAGATGGTTTCTGCACTACTTAACTCTCAGATGTGCATTCATCTTTATAATGAGGAGTTTCTGCACTGCAACTCTACTATATCATCCCTATATATATAAATTATCCATGTTTTTCTTGCTGACAGGCGGATCACTTACAGTCTGACAGTCATCTGAGGAACTGTTGCTCCTCTGTTTCTCCTGGCATACTGCATTAATGCATTGCAGGAACAACTGTAAACTATAATGCTCTTGGTGATCTCTGCCAAGTCTATGACTAGCATGGCTATCACGAATTGCTTCAGTTAACCATTCTGTGGTGAAAATCCTGTTAGATTTTCTTCTTTCACAAAATACATGTACACAATCCTCTGACAATGATGGACTAATGAGGTTTGTCTAATTGACTAGTCAGTGAAAACAAGATAAAGGCCAGTTCAAGCAGATAAAAGAAAGTGTCTCTCAATCTTGGCAAGCAACCCACTTAGATGGTGTAGCTAGAACATCCAAGGTAATTATATTAAATGCTGACACATGCAGCAGTAAGAAAAGCCTGTACTTTTGTTTGATTGATCAGACACGTAAATACTTTCAAATCAAAGCAGGTGTTTAATTCTATATCTAATATGCTGGAGTGCAGCACCACAATAATGAAACTTCTAATTGTTCACACTGAATATTGTTTTGGACATAATCATAATCACATAATCTTGTGAAATACTAAAAATAATTATAATATTATCGGATTTCATATGAATCTCACAAGGTTTGACCTCTAAGTCTGCAATTACCACTACCCTTAGCCATTAAATCCTGTTGGTACTGTTAATGTGCCAATACAAACAGGTGCCAGGTCTGCAGGTTTACAGCAAAATCAGCTTTATGTAATGTGTATGCTGCACATAATGTTCCATTTTGGAGAACCTTCAAATAAATCTTATGGTGTGAAATATGATGTAGCAGTAAAAACAATAGCAGCTTATTACTGGTTAAATTAGCTATTTAGCCAGTAGTTGTTTACTCTGAAAGAAGTCTAACCAAGTCATGTAACCAAGCAGAATCATACTGCTTATCACTGAACTCTCTTGCTCAGCTTTGGCAATGATTTGAATGAGGAGGCTAAGCATGTTAAACGATCCACTCTCAATAAAGTTAAAACCAATTGGATAATTAGGTAATCCGTTATGCTCTCTAGGGAGTCTCTTTTTGGCAAGACCTCACTGGTTAAGACTAATTGCTGCAATAAACACATTGCCATAAGAAGGATGTTCTCTTACAAAATGCAGTTTGCAGTATGGGACTCTAGGTGGATATATTAAGCCATGAAACACTTCACTTCTGAAAATTTCCCTAGGGTTAGTAATTTACACAACAGATTTTGAATAAAGATAACAATAATATATCAAGATCTTGACCTGTTCAGGGGCCACTGGGATAAGCTCCAGCTCCCCCCGCGACCCAGGAGGATAAGCGGAGGATAACAAAAAATGTACACAATATAAGAAGAATTCCAAAATGCTGCATATCCATTTGTAACAATAATGGATACATTTTTTTTAAAAAATTGTTGTAACTGATGTATAATGGAAAACACCTTTTTTATTTCCCTAATTAAAGTATTAATCATAATATAGATAAATAGGTTTTAAAATAAATTATTAAATTTAATAAAAATTAGATAAAGAGGTTTTATTCTGAGTGATTTTAGAGCATTTCTATTTGTCCGTCCATCATGAAATTTTCACACAACGTAAAGTATATGTATATAGAGCATTTTGGAGTGAAATTTATTTGTGTAAATAAACACTATACCCATAACAGTTTAGATGACCACCAGAGGTAACACACTGTGGCACTGCATTTTTTTGATACAGTCTCACCAGCAAGGTTTCCTGTTCAATTGCTTAAGGCCAACGGCGAAAATAAGAGAAAAGGGAGTTGAAAAATGCTGATACAGTGCATGTTTCTCAGTTACCTCTCTGTTAAATCTGCATGTTTTACACTCTTAAAAATGAAATGAACCATAAAGCGTTTTTAGAGCAATGCAGAATATAATCTTATATTCAATGAGCCGTCTGGTTCTCTGTTCTTTTACAAAGTTTATGGGAAAACTTATTGTCCATTGTAGACGACCAAATGTTACAGATCAGGCAGATGATGATCAGTGGGGTATTTCTTTAAAAGAAAGTCTTTTAAAGGTTCTTTTAGTAACCAAATGTTATTCTGTTGAGTCAGTTCAAAGCAGAAGACTGGGTACTTAACTTTTATTTTATTCTCTGCCTTTTGTCCTTTGTTGTTTGTACAGTCTATTTATTTATTTATTTATTTATTTATTTATTTATTCCTTCCTTCCTTCCTTCCTTCTTTCCTTTCTTTCTTTCTTTTTTTCTTTGCTGATTACTAAATGCCAAACATAGGCTAAACTCTTTCAAGCAAACATATCTGCTTTCAAATATTTAGTGTGCTTAATCCCCTGTAGGTCAAAGGTTAGCATATAATCTGTCTCACCTTTCACCCCTCTCTTTCCTGATCACATATGGCTTTCTTTCGTTAATCTCCTCATAAGGTATAAATCCAGCACCCTGAACATAAGCGCAGGTCACAACTCCAGGGGGACCGAGACTTATTAAGCAACTAGGAAGCCATTTCAGATGTTTCCTATTTGTCAGTAGGTTTGATCTTCAGGATGAATGGCACAGAGGGACATAACTTCTACATTCCTATGTCAAACAGGACTGGGCTAGTAAGGAATCCTTTTGAATACACTCAGTACTACTTAGCTGATCCATGGCAGTTCAAACTACTGGCTTTCTACATGTTTATACTGATTTGTTTGGGCCTTCCAATAAATGGGCTGACACTAGTGGTCACCGCTCAGCACAAAAAGCTCAGACAGCCACTCAACTTCATTCTGGTCAATTTGGCAGTAGCTGGAATGATCATGGTCTGCTTTGGATTCACCATAACACTGACTTCAGCTTTTAATGGCTACTTCGTGTTTGGACCTGCAGGCTGTGCCATTGAGGGCTTCATGGCAACACTTGGTGGTAAGTGAAACGCTTCCATTAAACAATTTAAAAGCTTTCATTTATTAATTTACTTGAAAATGCTGTGAATTTGTTATGTTTGTGCATTTCAAATTTGCAGCACCTGAAGATTTTTGCATGTATTCATGTCAGCATTTTCACTTTTTCCTTTTAGGTCAAGTGTCATTGTGGTCCTTAGTTGTGCTGGCCATTGAAAGATATATAGTGGTGTGCAAACCCATGGGCAGCTTCAAGTTCAGCTCTACTCATGCTTTAGGAGGCATTGGTTTTACCTGGTTGATGGCAGCTAGTTGTGCTGTTCCTCCACTTGTTGGCTGGTCCAGGTCAGAAAATGTTTAGTTATTTTCAGTATGGAAGTTGGAAATAGTGGAAATAATGTTGGTTAGTGGAAAGTGAATATATGGAGGCCTCAAATAAGCTTTTGGATTTCTTTTGAGATGGATAGCAACAATGGCAAAACAGGTTCTAATACAATAGAAAGGTTCCATTCTGCAGTGTCCCATTACATACAGTACTAATTTAAAGCATTCAGTTTGATTATTTTAGTAAACTGACTGAGAAATGTGTAGGATCTTTAAAAACTGTCATAACTGACTCCCTGTCATCTCTTTCCAAACAGATTCATCCCTGAAGGCGTGCAGTGCTCATGTGGACCAGATTACTACACCCTGAACCCTGCATACAACAATGAGTCATTTGTCATTTACATGTTTAGTTGCCACTTCATTGTTCCTGTCACTGTCATCTTCTTTACTTACGGAAGACTTGTGTGCACAGTAAAAGCAGTAAGGCATTTCAAGTACATAGAGAATCCTGTTAAAACATTTGTATTTGTCAGTGCTTGTCATTCTGTAACAGTACTGTGTACAAGTAAGAGACCACCCTTCATTTATTTAATGTCCAGTCAAAATGACCATTACGTACAAGTCATTCATTTTTGAGTGTCAAGCAAAAGGTAGAAAACATATATTTAACAGAAAGTGCCACAGAAGCCTCGACAAATACATATAATGTTAAAATTGTCACAATTTAGAGTCTAATTTTACTCTTAGAAGTTGGTTGCAATTTCTGCTTTTCATGATTCAAATAATCTGAATTCACTGATGATGAGTTCAGTGTTCTGGACTCTGGGATGACCAGTCTATTGTTCTGAGAGAACCAGTAGCTTCTTTGTTGACAGCAATATATATAGCAGCATTATATTTTTTAGGGCTGTAATGACTGTCAAATCCTAAGTTATATCTTTGCTGCAAACCTGACTTAATCTAATGATGATCTTCTTCAGGCTGCAGCCTCCCAGCAAGAATCAGCATCCACCCAGAAGGCAGAAAAAGAAGTGACACGAATGGTCATCCTGATGGTCCTGGGTTTCCTGGTTGCTTGGACCCCTTATGCTAGTGTTGCTGCTTGGATTTTCATGAACAAGGGAGCTGCTTTCACGGCCCAGTCCATGACTGTTCCTGCATTTTTCTCCAAGACCTCAGCTATTTTCAACCCCATCATCTATGTGGTGCTAAACAAACAAGTAAGTCCCCAGAAATACATACTGTTGGACGTACTATTCCACAGGAAAAATGTGTTTTTGAAGAACTGGCCGGTGAAAGAATTTTTATGGAACCAAAAGTGGTTCTTCTGTGGCATCGCTCTAAACAACACTATTTTGGTACTTTAATTTTTGAGAGTTTAACAATGATATTTGTAATAGGAGAATGCTACAAATGAAGCTAAGTTCCTCTCAACATCTTAAAGAAATGCAGTCATAAGTGCTGTTTTGCAGCATAAAGTAGCATCTCTCTGTTTTTCCTTTATTTCCTTAGTTCCGTAGCTGCATGCTGACCACACTTTTCTGTGGCAAGAACCCTCTTGGTGATGAAGACTCCTCTTCAGTGTTCTTAAACAAAACTGAGGTGTCTTCAGTGGCTCCAGCATAGAAGCAGCTCACATCTGCTCTCTCTCTTCTTCTCTGCAATGTACTGTCCTGACTTTATCATTTCTTGACCGATAAAAGCGTATCCGTTTCATGTTCATTTCTGAGTGATATACATAGCTTTTATTATTAGAAGTTATATGGTACCATAATCTTTCCTCAGTCACAATGTGGTGTCTTTGTCTCAAGCCTCTGCAATCACTGCATGCTCAGGTCATTGGCACCATAACCAGATTAAGAAGTCAGAACAGTGGGAGAAGCACTAGTGCTTCTGGAGAGGTGATGCATTGAGATCTTGTGTCTGGTTATTGAATTAATTCCACAAAATTAAGCTGTCATTTGCATAAGGAAGCATATGGAGTTTTCAATCGGCATCCAGTCGTTGGTCTGGAAGGTTGTTTGGCAGGTTTGTTCTGTTGTATGGAATTGGAACTTTATATTGATTTGATTTGTATATGTTTTGTACATAAAAAGACAAAGCAAAACAAAACAAAACAAAAGAAAAAAACTGAGAGTAGACATTTGCTGACACATAGCTGGATAGCCAAGCCCTCATTTCATGTTGAAAAAAGCTTACATAAACACACTGAAACAAATTGCTTGTCAGGGCATGTATTTAGTGGTTAAGGAAGGCATGGTGCAACATGTTTTTCCTGAGGGTTTGCAATATTCTTGACAATTAATTGGTGAGGTAGGGGCTTGGCATTTGTGCATTCCAAAATGCTTTCTCTGCAGGCTGAATATGCTTTTGCAAACAACAGAGGGCAGTAGACGCCACAAACCACCTGCTTTTCTCCAGCAGACCACAGACCTCTAATAAAATAAGACAGCCAGTTTTATGCTTTTAAGTTCACAAATACTTGAGCATGTCTACTTGATTATCATCCACCATTCAGATGCACATTCACACATGCTTAAGCACACATGTAGAAATAGGAAGTGGCCACTAAGAGGATTTGCTTGGAGGATGGGGAGAATGGCCGGTTTTGGGGGTTTTGCCTGTGAGCAGAGCAGTATGAGTTGGAGAGAGGCCATGTTCTTTGATCCTCATTTCTCATATGGGTGTGTGGAACAGTCATTCCAGGGCCTGTGCTCCTATTGGGAAATGCACTGATAAATGAATGAAAGGTAAAAAAAACTTGTGGTTGGGAACTGCACTGGTGAATAAATAAATGAATGAACGAATGAACAGAAATAATAAATGAATCAAGCAAAAAGATAAATGCTTCATGATTCATGAGGATCTGACCAGAAACCTGACGATGGGCCAGTAGGGACAGATGGACGAACAGGAAGAAGAAGCAGGACTGACAGAGAGGCAAAGGGGGGGGTTCAACCTAACCCCCCCTCATCTACACTTGTATCAGCTAATAACTAACACCATGGAGTCTTATCATCCGCTCAGCTAAGTCTAGGATTAGCTTTTATGCTCAATTCTCCGTAGCTGAATTGAAAACCAGCACAAGATCCCTGGGCTGCACCAAAATCACTTTGTGAGTCGGCAGTTCTGCCTTGCTGGAATGAACTGCCAGACTGAGTAATAGAATCTGTCTCTTACAGAGTAGGTCTAACATGCATTTAATGATTTTTTCAGTTCATCCAGCTGAAAATAGAGAGAAATACATTAATATAAGCTCGGATCTTTGCTAAGATGACTGTGTGCAATACTCTGAGCACATATTCATAATTTTATGTGAAGAAGGAACCACATTTGTTGACTTTATTTTTATTTTTGTTTTTGATACGGCTAATGTCTGTCAATAGATTTCTGCTTGTGAGAACAGTACTCATTATACAAGAACACTGCAATTATTGCCCTGCAGGCTCCGCCCACTCTCTCTCTCTCTCTCTCTCTCTCTCTCTCCCCCTCTGTCTATCTCCCTCTGTCTCTCTCTCTCTCCCTCTCTCTCTCTCTCTTTCCTCTCTCTCTATGTAATTGAGCCCTACTAACAGCTGCAGACAGATCTTAAGTGGTAACCTTTCATTTCCTGTTATAAGCTAAATGGCAACAGCTATAGACCCATAGCCACCTAAAGCTGCAATTTCGGAAGCTGGGCACCTGCAGGCAGTTAGATTCACTGCAGTGGGTCGGAGAATGGAAAACAGAGCCTGTAAGCATGAGGACAGGCCAGAACTCTGACAGACCTAGAGATCCTAATTGCTCCCTAATACCCCCTCATTAACGAGGCTTAATGAGGAAAATGAGTGTCTTCTCTGTCCTTTTGTCTTGAGCATGAGAAGAAGCTGGTTTCCTTATGTGGGTTGCCTTAATGAAGAGACAACCCAACCAACGCAATACTGATTTTGGAAAACAGAAGACAACTAAAATGTTGTGGAGCTATGACAGAGATCTTTGATTTGGAACATTACTGCCACTGTAACATAGTCAAATTTAGAAATCATGTATTATAACTTTCTGTCATTACTTCATAAGAGTGAGAATGCTAGTACAGAAAAGATTATGATTAATTCTCCCAGTTAAGAAGTACTGGGTGTGGTGGCATGTTGGATTCCTTATTCATTCTCTTATATACATATCACCACTGCTACAATTATATACCAAAAAAAGAGGCCCACCAAATGCCTTGCATAGATTGTATATAGACTTAAATGACACAATAACCATTAGCTGTAAGCTTAGATTTGATGTGTGTTTGAATATTAAAAGACTTGCCCAATAAGATTCTAGCTCAAGCTCATCCACACATGACAGTAATCACAGCCACCTGACAGAATTTTTAACGTCTTTATTCCCTTTTCAGACAACAAGGCCAGTTTACAGTGTTCACTGATCAACTCTACAAGTTACAACATGATTGCATCACTTGTGTTGACTGAGACTTTCTACATCACTACACTTCATGCACTGCACTGGACACAGCGAATATACTGAGTCATTAATAATACAGCCCTCTGATCAGGAATTTTACATCTTCAGACACCTCCTAACCTCAGACTGTGGTTTTGGCACAAAAATATGTCAAGAAAATCCTACATATAACCATATTATCAGTATAGTTTTTGAAAGGTGCAACTATAACCATACTTCACTTTGTCATACATGAGATAAGATGTTTACTTATCTTCTGAAGTGTGTATTCTAATATGTTCTAATAAACTCACTCAGTCTCTCACTCAGTCTCTCACTCATTCACTCACTCACATTTTGCAGGCTGATGATTCTCCTCTGGTGGGGCTGTTAGCACTCAAATAGCTTCTTGTGCTTCATAAGAGCAGGGCTTCGCATCAGTGGCACTGTGTGTCTTTGTTAAGTTGGCTTTACATGGTGAACCTTTCATGCAACTAGTGGAATGTTAAGAGTTGCCTGCAACTTGACAGTTATGCAAAGCAAGTTTCACACAGTACATTTGATTTGATTTGATTAGCCAAATTAGCAGCTCATATTTTTTAATGCATCATATTATTCTCTCTATGGTCTGACTAAGTCATCTATGGCGTTTTATTTACATTTGCATATTTGCAGCATGTTCAAATCGTCTTTGCATAATTTTTCTAGCTGTCATTGCCTTTCTTTTTTAGACTACCACCCTTACATAAAATCATTCTCTTTTTCAGCCTTCAAATAAACCATGTTTTGTTTCATTTTCTTGTTCATCAAACTGATCAAATCAATCCTTTGAAATTGTGTTGCACAGCACGATCACATGATGCATTTTAGACATTTTGCTTGACTGGAGATGCTTGCAACTGTTGCAGCTGACTTTCAAGTTGTGGCTGACTTTGTGCATACATCTTCTCCTCCATGGTTAACTGCCTGGTCAACATTGTTGTTGGCTGTAAGAACACCTTACATTATGCAAGACACGTTACATTATGCAATTGAAATGAGTAATTTTTAAATAAGTTTGAAACAATTAAAGTTGCATGTAAGTTTCACTGTGTAAAGCCAGCCTTAAACATGCATTTTTCCAATTCTTTTCTTATACCTATGAGCCTGATATAGAGTAATACTATCAATAAAGAAGTACATAAATCAATGAATACAAACATTAGTCATGTTCACTGGACTTAGGCTTATTCACTTGAGAATATACTTAAGAAAAACATTAAATATAATGTGTACACTGTCAGTACACAAATAAATAAGTTCTCTTTACTTAACAGATAGAAATGTTCAAATTAACATATATTTAGAAGCTACATAAGCTTTGATTTGCATTTGCAGCGCATACATGGTTACATTTAAACACAATTAATCTTCCTGAAAAATATAAAACCACAAGACTAAGCCAGAGAAAGATTAGCCAAAAACAAAGTCAATTAAATGACCACCGACTCTTCTGCCAATGACAACAGAATTTAGTCATGTCGCCTGTGATCCTGCTACTGGTCAAGGATTTTTCAGTTTCTGTCTTTTTCTGTGCCCCATAGGACTCAAACTTCTCCGAACCTAATTTATTTTCTCTTTAGCCTCTCACTTTTTTTATCTCTTTCCCTTTTCTCTTGTCTCTCTTTATCTTCCACTGTACAGTGTAATCACTCTGTATGCACTTCTCTCACTGACTCTCATTGACAAATATCAGAGGTCCTTTGGAGGTGGGGCTCCCCATCTGTCGGTAAAGCATCGGTTGTCCCAGATTGGTCTGCGGCAGGCTGAAGCTCCCACTCGATAGGTCAAAACTCGCCTGGCTGTAGAGCCTCTGTCCAAAGCCTGCTCCGGATTGGTCAAAGCTGCTTTGACTGTACTGCCTGAAACTGCTGCTGCGTTTCTCAGAGGGGGTTCTGGAGGGATAGCGCTGACCAGACTTGTGCAAGCCTGTCTCTTTGTAGGCAAACCAAATGTTACCAGCCCACAGGGAGAAGTTCAAGAAGCCAAAGGCCTGGAAGCAAGGAAGGATGGTTCAGTCATGACTGATCTACACTCCCAAAAATAAATGGCTCTTGGCTTGCATGTACAGTTTCTGAAAAAATCTTTAACTGGTACAGAACCTTTCAGTCATGTGATTTTTTTTTTAAAGCTTTCAAAAGGTTGTTCACACTTGA